ATGTCAGACAGCTCTGGGTTTGAGCTGTGGGCTATTTACATGACGTCCTCTGCACCTCACTTCATTCAACTGTAATATGAAAGGCTGATTCCTGCCTCCTGGCGCTATTGCAAAAAGCAGGCAGCTTGTTGAAGTGACCTACACAGCAGGCAAATGCCCAATGCTTCTTGGCTGAGGAATGTCACATTAGCAGTCCCCCAGGCACACAGCCCTGCAAGCTCATCTCCCAGGAAGAAGCTAAAGCTAGGCTTGCCTCACACAGCTTAGTTCTGTTACTGAGGCCAAATGGCGGGTGGAATGGGTGTTCTCCCTGCTCTTGCCGCCTACTCTCTTACTGACAGGAGCACATGGGCTGGGCTTCCCATTGTTGAAAGTGTCATCGTTGCTGTGGCAGCATTTGTAAACATTCTGTCTAGGAACCTTGGGGCAAAGTGCTGCGAGACTGCTAAGGTTTCCCTAGCTATCTCTGCTACTGCTTCAAACGAGAATCTGCTCACATAGGTACTGGGCTTTCTTTGCGATAGGGGCGGCCTCAAATGGGACCTGTAGTGGTTCTATTAATCACTCAGACCTCAAAGAAGCCAGTGAGAGAGACATCTAAGAGTAACCCTTTATGTGTCCGCAGATGGGTGAAGTTAAAAGGCTTCCTTCCTTCTTTCCTTCCTCGATCCCTCCCTTTCTGGTTTGTTGCTGTTGTTTTGGAGAGAGGGGTCTGTATAATATAGGCTGCTTTCAAAGTTGCTATGTAGCCAAAACTGGCTTGGGAAAGACTGTTGCTTCCAGCAGATGGCCATGTTTTCTGCCAGCTGCAGCAACAGGAAAACAGAGGTGGAGGTGAATGGAGCAGAAAATGAAAATAGCAGGGCCTAAATGAGCATTACTCTGTAATTACTACAGGAATACTTAAAGGGTATGCAGATTTTTATTATTGATGCTCATAGGGACTTTTGTTGCCTTGTGCAGTGTCTACCATACCCTTGGGACCAATGATGTTGAGAGAGGAAACAAAGGGTTATCTTTTGTGAAAGAGGCTTGCAGTGGGAGTGAAAAGGCTCAGCGCATAAAGATGGTCCCCAGGACTCATGGTGAAAGGAGAGAACCTAGTTCTGCTAGTCATTCTCTGACCTTTACGTGTGTGCTAGGACACCCATGCCCCCCAACTAAGGAAATAAATGCAAAAAAGTATAAATTAAAAAAGAGGCTTGCAGAAAGAAAGAACACATTCTGGACTAGATGAAGGTGAGAACAGGTCCTAGGAAGCCTCTTTTTTATTTATTTTTTTTGCATTTCTTTTTTCCAATCCCCTGTATCAACTGGCTCACAACTGCCTGTTACTCTAGTTCCAGGATATCCAACCCTCTTCTAGTTTCCATGGGCTCCTGCACACACACATATACCCAGTCAAGGCACACACAACACACAAAATGAAATACATAAACATTTTTTAAATAGTTAGCATACTATTAAGCTGGGAAGTGGCGAAGCACGCCTTTAATTCCAGTACCCTGGAGGCAGAGGCAGGGGGATCTCTGTGAGTTTGAGGTCGGCCTGGTCTCCAGAGCTAGTTCTAGGGCAGCAAAGACTACCAGAGAAACCCTGTCTCAAAATACAAAGTTAGCATACTAAAATTAAGATAGTTGGTCAAGGAAGCACAAAGATGTGGCCACAGTAGAGACAGAGTTCAGCTTTCTGAGGCTTGTAGAAGGTGGAGGGAGCCAGACTGAGAAGTTGTGTGAGACAGAAGCCTTGAGAAGCTAGAAGCCTCTCCAGACAGCCATTCCCAGGTGCCCCATAGAGGGGGCCATCAGGGAATATAGTTTGTCTCTCACACTTCTGTCAGCATTCTCTTCCTAGTGTGTGACCTCCCTAGGACACTAGGGGGCACTAGAGGACCATTCCTGTGGTCTACTCGGGCCAGCCTTCGGGTGAGGAGGGAGCTAGAGGAGCGTGGATATGTAACTAACCAGTGTCCATCTCATTCATCGCGGCATGGTTGTTAAGTGAAAGATGGCACATTAAATATTCCAAAGTTGGGAGTTTTATTTGTAGAAAAAGAAAGATCTCCTTTTGGAAAGACATCTACTGCCACCCTCTCCTTCCACTGAAAGGTTGGGCATGGTGTTGTACAGGTGGATGTATCTTTGTGAGTCCAAGGCCATTCTGGTCTACACAGGGAACTCCAGGCCAGCCAAGGCTACATAATAAGACCTGGTCTCAAAAAGAAAAAAAAAATGCCTGCAAGAAATGATTTAAAAGCTAGAGGTGATTTCTTAGAAGTGAAGAGTTTCAAGCAGTAGTATGGAAATTGATCCCAAGAATCAAGGGGAAAGATGTGAAAAAAAAAAAAACTCCCAATGGACACACCCCTATTATGTGATAGACACCTGTCCACAATCCCGAGAAAGCAAAGGTTCAATTATTGCTGAAGGAATCAATAGATGCTGAGTGCATTTATGATTTTTTAAAAAAGTATTCTTCAAACAGGAATGAAAATGTCCCTTGCTTTATTTTATGTATATGGTGCTTTGTCTGCATATGGATGCACCATATGCGTGCCGACAGAGACCAGAAGAAAGCCCAGATCCCTTGGAACTAGAGTTACAGGCAATTATGAGCTGCCAGATAGTTGCTGGGAATCAAACCTGGGTCGTCTGGAAGAGCATCCAGTGCTCTTAACCACTCAGCCATCTCTCCAGCTCCATTCACATTTTTTTAAGGCAGGGTGTCAGCTGGGTGTTGGTGGCGCATGCCTTTAATGCCAGCACTCGGGAGGCAGAGGCAGGTGGATCTCTGTGAGTTCAAGACCAGCCTGGTCTCCATAGCGAGTGCCAAGATAGGCTCCAAAGTTACACAGAGAAACCCTGTCTCAAACAAACAAACAAACAAACAAAAAAAAAGGCAAGGTATCACTATGTAGCACAAGATAGCCTCCAACTCACAATTCTCCTGCCTGCCTCAGCATTTTAAATACTGGAACAGGCATATGTCATATCAACATGCCCAGCTCAAATGTCTCTCTCTCTCTCTCTCTCTCTCTCTCTCTCTCTCTCTCTCTTCCCCCTTGTTCATTCCCTGATTTCTCTTCTCTCCAGGGTCATATGGAGCTCAGGATGGCCTTAAATCTGCTATGTAGCTTGCGATCCCCTTGCCTCTCATTCCCATATTTTTGTTGTGGTTTTGTTTGTTTCGGGAGACACAGTCTTGCTATGCAGCCATTGGCTAACCTAACATACACTATGTAGCCCAAACTAGCCTGCAACTTGCGGCAATGCTCCTAGCTCCCAAATGTTAAGATTACAGATGTTTATCACTATTCCCAGTTTCAAATCTCAGACCATAAGCCAGTGTCATCCTAAGTGGTTCAAGAGCAGAAAGCAGTGCCTACTGAATCCAGATAACAAACGGGTATAGTCATCATCTTGACTTCCATTTAACATTTTTCAAGGGGTTAACCAAAGCTAAGGAACTCAAGTGACACATATGGTCGAGAAAAGAGATAATAAAAATAATAGTTTCTTTAAGATAATAGAATTATATACCTGGAAAACTTGATGAAAACACCGATCTGCTGCCATGCCTCTTGATTCATTATGTGCCCCCCCCCCGTGTGTGTGTGTGTGTGTGTGTGTGTGTGTGTGTGTGTGTGTGTGTGTGTCTCTCTGTCTGTCTCTTGTGTTCTCATGTTTGTGTGTTTTGCTAGAGATGGAATCATCCAAGGCTTCCAAGGATAGATAAGTGTTCTGCTACTACTGGAATACATGTTTATACCCTCTAATGGCAACTTTTTTAAAAGAGTCATGCTGGGACTGCACAGATTTCCCAGTGGGTAAGAGCATGTATGGCTCTTCCAGAGGTCCCAATTTTGGTTCCCAGCACCCACAAGTGACTTAACACCCACTAGTAACTGCAGCTCCAGGGAAATCTGAAGCCTTCCTTTGGCATCTCCAGGCACCCATGTCCACATGCACAAACAAACCAACATACATATATTTTAAAATAAAAATAGTATCTTAAAAATAACCATAGTTTCTCAGCCGGGCATTGGTCCACATGCCTTTAATCCCAGCACTCGGGAGGCAGAGGCAGGTAAATCAAGGCCAGCCTGGTCTACTTACTGAGCACTACGGCTAGCCAACGCTATATAGTGAGACTTTGTCTCAAAAAACAAAACAAAACAAATAACAACAAAAAAGAACTCAGAGGACCTCTTCATTATGGGTTATCCTGGGACCAAATTTCCATCCATAGATAGTCTCTTACACAGGCTTTGCTGGGACAACACTAAGGATACTTCAGAAATACCAACAATGACATTCCCCAACCAACCAAACAAACAAAAAAAAATAGTTTCTCAAAGCATGGACTTAGTCTTTTCTAGTCCGTGTTTGGAGTTATTGTTCAAGAAAGCTACGAATTGCTCCTACTACATTTTGATTGAAGTCTTCTCAGTTTGAAGAATGGGAAACCCTTGGTTGTCAGGAAAGGTCCATCTCAGCAAACAGATAGAAATGGTTGGCAGTAGGGTCTGACTCGCACCCTTCACCCCTAGCCTCTTCTCAAGAGTTAGTGAGTGTTGCCTGAGTGTTTTGATCCTCCAGCAGACAGGGTTTGGGGGTTGGAGAAATGACTCAGTGTTGTATGGCACTTGTTGCTGTTATTGAAGACCTGGGTTGGATTCCCAGCATCCACACTGTGGCACACAACTGTCAGTAACTCCAGTTACAGGGGGTCCAATGCTCTCTTCTAACCTCTTTAGGCATCAGGCATACACTTGGTGCAGAGACATTGACACAAGCAAAACCCACATAAATAACTCTAAAAACAGTTTTCTTGTGATCCTCCTGCCTCTGCCTCCTCCAGCAAATCCTGCCAGCATGTGCCACCACAACCACTAAAAACAGTTTTCTAAAAAGAGAGAGTATGTACTTATGTGAGTGTGTTTGTACCCTGTAATGTTGCACACATAGAATAAATTATTGAGTTTTTTTAATCCAGGCAAAATAGAATGGATAACAAAAAAAGGCTCCCAACCCAGAGGGCGAAGACTTCAGAGAACACTAGCACAGCCAAGACAAAGAAACCAGATGCTCCAGATCCCAAGATTGTTACAGAGCAAAAAGACACTAGGGCCGTGGTGGACCCAAAGAAGACTGGAACAGATCAGAAAGAGAAAAAGAGTGTGACCATCCTTACAGATCCAAAGGACAAAAAGATTGTTCCTGAGCTAAAAGAAAAGAAGAGTGTGACAATATCAGATCCGAAAGACAAGAAGCCAGAGACAAAAGACAAGAGGACAGTGACATTTGTGACAGACATAAAAGACAAGAGGATTGTGACAGACACAAAAGAAAACAAGATTTTTTCGATAGAGACAAAAGAAAAGGTGGCCGTGCCTGTTGCGCCAGATGTAAAAGAAAAGAAAATTGTGCTAGCAGTAGAACCAAAAGAGAAGATGGTTGTGCCCATTGTACCAGTTGTGCCATCTGTGTCTGTTGCGCCAGAAGTAAAAAGGAAGATCTTAATGCCAGAGATGAAAGAGAAGAAGGAATTACCACTTGTGCCTTCGATAAAGGAAGTCAAAGCTGTGCGTATCATACCAGAGATAAAAGAAAAGAAGGCTGTGTCTGAGATAACAGAGAAGTTGCCCATGGAAGAAACAAGAGAGAAGAAAGTTATGCTAGAGGCCACAGAGAAAAGGCCTGTGGTAGTAATAGAGAAAAAAGATGACGAGACCAGTGACCTGGCTCAGACTATAGTTGAGGGCGTTCTGGCTGATGCTGTTCAAATTGTCGAAGGTAGGTTTCTGGTTTGTTTGCCTAAAGGATTGTCTCATTGCTGTAACAGCATACTGCCAGGAAACTAACACATGCATGCCTTGTTTTCAGATGCCAGAAACCCCATCAAGAACATCAAGTGGCTTACTCACGGGGAATTCACAATAGAAAATGGTCGCAAGCAAATTGAGAAGTTTGTTTCGGTAAGTGACTTTGCTCACTCCAGTTTGGCGCCCCAGGGTGTGAGCAACAACAACAACAACAAAAGTCCTCCATTGATCAAAACTTTGTGGCAATGAAAACCAAAGGGGTGGCATCAAAGACACCTAGAATAACTAAACATAATTTTCTTGTGAGTTCCAAAAATCAAGACTGGAAAGTTTTGCTTACTTATTTTATGTTTTTAATACAAGCATTGTACACCCTTCAGGTAATATTCTTTTCTTTAAAAAAAGTTTTTATTTTATATGTACGAGTGTGTTTTTCCTGCATATACGTATGTGCACCATGTGCGTGCTTGGTGCCCGAGGAGGCTCTTAAAACAGTGTAGGATTCCCCAGAACAGGAGTTAGAGGTGACTGTGAGTTGCCATGTAGATGCTGAGAATTGAACCAGGTTCTCTGAAAAAGTAGCCAGTGTTCTTAGTAGTCATCTCCCAAGCCCTATTTTGAGACAGACTCTCAATATGTATCCAAAGCTGGCTTGGAACTTGCTATGTAGATTAGGCTGGCCTCAAACACACAGAGATCCATTTGCCTCTGCCTCTTGAATGGTGGGATTCAAAGGGGCATCACTTCCCCAGCCAGTGAGCATTCTTAACCACTGAACTATCTCTCTAGCCCCAAGGTGGGACAATCTTTGAAAGAGTAAAGTGCAGCCATATTGCTACCTAAAAGTCTAGAGACTGCTTCGTTATCCCACTCCATTCTTCCATCATCGGACCATCTGCTCCACGAGAGCAGAGTGTTTTGGTCAGTTTCACCCCAGGCTTCTAGCAATGTCAGGTATACAGTAGATCCTCAATAAGTCTCTGTTGAGCACATGAATGGATTTATTCTCTCTTCTCCTCTCTTTCCCCACTTCTCCTTCTCTCCCTTTCTCTCCCTCTCCCACCTATTTTCTTTTGTGGGTTTCTTTTTATTTTTTGAGACAGCCTGGCCTTGAACTTGCTATGTAGTTGAGGGTGACTTGAATTCCTATTTCCTAACACAGCCTCCCATTGCTAGGATTACAGGCTGTGCCACGACTCCAGCTAGTCCCAGTACAGTTCAGTTCTTCCATAGGTCACCTGCCATGGCTAACAGTTTTGTGCATGTACTTTCAGGAGCCTGCCGATTTTGAGTATCCAATAATATAGAATGGGCTAGGCCATCCGTGGCAGACTAGTACCATGTCAGTGAGTATGTGAAGGTGTGCTATATAAAAATTACAACACACAAGGATAATATACACTCTCTGGCGTGACATGAAAATCTGTTGCCCATATATTTATAAAAGAGGAAGAGGTTAGCTTATAGACATAGCAGAATTGAATGTCCTAAGGTTGCCTTAGTTCACAGAAAAGATACAAGTACAGTACAAGCAAGCAGAGAGGAAGAAACTCAGAACCAGGGCATCTGGTGGGAAGCATACAATGCTGAGCTTGCTGCCCAGAAGCCCTTGGGTATCAATCCAGGTAGGAGGCCCCACCATCTTCATCTGCAGAGTGAGTGACTTTGTGAGACATAATCTCCAGTGCTACATAATCTTTAATTGTGCGACAATCATTCCCACTGGAAACGAATGTAACTGAGAAAGGGTGAGGAAACTGGGTACAAGGAGTTGACAGGCTTCTTTACAAAAAAATAATGCAGTGGGCAGAGTGGCATATACCCATAATCTCATCACTTGGGTGGTAGAGGCAGGAGAATTAGGAATTACGCTACCCTGGGCTACATGACACCCTAGCTCAAAAACAAGTATCTGGTGATACAGCTCAGTTGATAGAGAGCTTGCCAAGCATGCATTAAGTCCTGGCTTTACCCAACAATGCATAAACAAGGCATGGTGGGATGTGCCTTTAATTCCAGCACTCGAGAGATAGACACAGGAGAATTAGAAATCCAAGGTCATCCTTGACTGCATAGCAAGTCGGAGTTCAGTCTGGGCTATATATAAGGCCCCGTCTTAAAAGAAAAAAAAACAAGAATGATGTCATATGGATGATGGAAGAAGACAAGGTCCCTGATCTCAACAAACTGGGCATTGTTTCTCTGTTCTACTAAAATGGCCAATTAAATATGAGTTTGAAATAAGATGAGCCAAAAGACAAAAACAAAACAAAACAAAAAAACATGGACCTGAGAAACTTGAAACCAATTTCTCCTCTGCACTACTTCTCATATCTGTATTATTAGACCATCTGAAGAAATGCCAGGCTCTTGTGTGGTGCAAGACACATGTTGTGAAGTGCTTATAGTTCCAGATACGATTTTTTTGAGACAGACTTCTCACTGGTCAGTCTGGAGCTCACCAATTATGCCAGACTTTCTGGGCAAGGATTTGCCTGTCTCTGCCTCCCCATCACTGGGATACAAGTACACAGCACCATGCGTGGCTTTTATTTTTGTTGTTTGTTTGTTTGTTTGCTTGTTTTGGCTTTTCGAAACAGGGATTCTCAGTGTAGCCCTGGCTGCCTGGAACTCGATCTGTAGACCAGGCTGGCCTTGAAGTCACAGTGATTGCCATGCATGGCTTTTTAAGTGGGTGCTGGGAATTGAACTCAGGTCTTCATGCTTATGCAGCAAGCACATTTTTGACTGAAATATCTCCCCAGCCTTCCTCCCTTTATTGAGACAGAGATTCACATAGCTCTGGCTGGCCTGGAATGGTAGTTGAGGATGACTTTGAGCTCCCAATCCTCTCACCTTCATTCCCCCCCCCATCAAGGGGCTGGGGTTACATTCCTGTATCACTATACCTGCTTCTAAATTGATGCTGATGCGGTCAATAATATAGTTAACTTTAACCACCTCTTCACATCTCGACTGCAAATAGGTTCAGACAGAGGAGATTCCCCAAGATCTTCAGTTTAGTATGTGCACATTGGCTCTTTGAGCAGGTGTGGTGATACACACCGGCAACCCCAGCACTCGGGAGGAGGAGCAGAACTCTTTTTTTTTTTTTTTTTTTTTTTTTTTTTTTTTTTGTTTTTTCAAGCAGGGTTTTTTTGTTTAACCTTGGTTTCTTTCCTCTCCTTCTCTCTGTAGACCAGGCTGGTCTCGAACTCACAGAGATCCGCCTGCCTCTGCCTCCCGAGTGCTGGGATTAAAGGCGTGCGCCACCAACACCTGCCCTGAGGAGCAGAACAGAGTTTGAGGTCAGCCTGTACTATGTAGTGAGACCCTGTCCCATAGAGTCAAAAAGACATGAGCTGGGAATCAAACCCAAAGCCTTACACACATGATGCAAACACCTTGCTACTGAGCTGTGCCTCCCCACCCCAGCCTCCCTTTTGAAGGCATGTGAATAACCCAATTGCCTGACTCATTCCTCTTCTGGACTTATTTTGCTTTTATTCTTTATTATTATGAGTGGGAGGTAGGGGCCATGCACAGACCACACGTAGAGAGGTCAGAGGACAACTTTGTGTAGTTAGTTTGGAACTCTTACCTTTATGTGCCTCCTGGGCATTGAACTCAAGTCCTCAGGCCCACATTGCAAGTGCCTTTACAGAGAAATCTCCCCCAGAACTTGACCCTTTCTTTCTTTTTTTGGGGGGGCAGCTTCTTTTCTAAAGCACATATCACAACAAATGAAGTAAGTCCAATTTTATAGATGGTTGACATTGGGCTCACTACCTTCTAGTCATCCCTATAGGTCTCCTTGGGTAGGGTAAGCAGAACACCTATTCCAATCACCAATTATTCTCCAATTTAGCCCCACACTTGCCTCCTAAGGGAGGGTGTGAAGTGTGGCGTGTACATACACAGCGTAACCCTCCCCCCACCCTGCTTCCCGCACAGTCCAAAGCTCCTCTCAAGTGCTTTGCATTCCTGAATTAGTCCCTCTGTCTACTGTGGGAATAATTGAGCATTGGTCGTAGTTTCAAATCAAAATAAAAAAAGTCAAGATTGCAGGGTCTGTAACTCTGACTGTTATGTACTGCCTTTGTTGAGCTGGTCCTGCTTTTCTTTCTCTGTGAGCTTTCTTTTTTCTGTGAAACAGACGTGGGAGTTTCAAAACCGCTGGGTGTACTATGCGGACTTTATAGAGAAGAAAGACTTAATTCACTCCTTCCACTATATCTACCGTGTGCGCTGGAGTGCCCCTACTGCCGTGAGACCCATGGCAAGAGTCAGTGCTAACGCCTTCTTCACCATCAAGTTCAACAAGAGCAAACCTCCGGTAAGTTCTTTTTTTGCATCCTGAGGATCTTATTAAATGGAGATTCTGGTTGAGCAGATCTGGGGAGGGCTAGCGATGATATTTTTTCTTGTTTTTTTTTGTTTGTTTTGGAGACTGTTTTACTATGTCTGGTTGACTGTCCTACTCACTTTGTAGCCCAGGCTGGCTGGCCTCCAGAGATCCACAGGCCTCTGGCTGCCTCCTAAGTGCTGGGACTAAAGGCATGGGCTACCACCACCAGGCTGAGTTAATACATTAACAAACTCCTAGGTAATTCTGACAGTGCATACCTAGAGATTTATATCTAAGTCACAATGGCCTATGAGTATGACTATAGCTAAGGAATATTAGCATATATATATTAGTATATATATATATATACATATACATATATACATATATATATATATATATATATGTATATATATATATTCTCT